CCCAATACTATACTGTTTTGATTATTGTTGCCTTGTAGTACAAGCAGAAGTCAGGGAGTGTGATACCTCCAGCATTGTTTTTTTTTCTTAAGATTACTTTGGCTTTTTGGGGTCTTTTTTTTCCATACAAAACTGATGATTTTTTTTTGTATTTCTTGAAAAAAAGGCCATTGGGATTTTGATGGAGATTGCATTAAATCTGCATATTGCTGTGGGTAATATGGCCATTTTAACTATGTTGACTCTTCCAACCCATGAACACAGAAAGTCATTGAGCATTCTGATAACCAGTGTTTGGAACTCAGCATCTGATCGATTGTCTGTCTCCATTTCACTTAGTTTTTTTTTCTGGAGCTTTGTTTTGTTCTTTTATTTGGCACAGTTTTTTTTGTCTCCCCATTGTAGCTGCCTCCCTCTGTTTGTTTCTATGTATTAGGTAGGGCTGCTATGTCTTCTGGTCTTAATAGAATGGCCTTACATAGTAGGCATGTTGTGAGTTTCAGTGGCATAGTCTTTCTGTTCACCTTAGTCATGAACTCCAGGTGTGTCCCTTTTGTGGGTTGTGTGTACCCTCCTCTTGTAGTTGAGCCTTGGTTGATAATTGCACATCAATGGGAGGGACTGACACTTGGGCTCACTGGTTGTGAGGACTGGGGTTGACTAGAATGGAAAAGTTGTTGTGCAGAGGTGATCCTACAGAGCAGGATGTGCCTCAGCAGGACTCTGGTGCCTGCACAATCTGCCCTTTGGGTGTGTTGTACTTGGAGCTGGCTGGGTAATACTGCAGCTCATTTTGAAACTGGTCACCAGCCCCAGAACCACCTTGGAGAGGATCCGCTCTATGTCAATTTCAGCCACAGCCCATGCTCTACCTAGGGCCACCCAGCAGGAGACACAAAGAAATCCACAGATGGCTTCCATCTGTGCTGTGCTTGGAAGTGCCTTGAGGGGCCAAGCCATGAGCCAAAGCCAGCTGCCAATAGTGCTGCACTTAGGGCTGCTCAGCAAGAGGTACAAGACATGTGCAAGCCAGATGATGCTTGTGTGGGTTTTGTGATTCTTTGAGAGACCCTAGGAAAGTCTGCATCTGGAGCCAAGGCAGGAGGTCTGTATGAAAAAGTCACAGGAAGTGGTCTTGTTGTACCCAAAAGTTAGGTGGGGCCAGGTCTTGCATCACCAGGGTGTGGAGAACGAACTGCAGAGACTCAAATATGGAGGCTGCCTGCTTCTGCACACAGGGAAGGGAGATAGCTCAGCAAAGAAACAATGGCCTCTGCCAGGCTCACCGTCCAGGAGAAAGCCACCTCTCTAGCTCTCAAGCCAGACAACTCAATTTTCCACCATATGTCCCTACCGCCTTTCCAGACACTGCCTCAGCACTGGAGCTCAGAGTGAATGATTCCATTGGTGGGTAAGTCCCCACCTAGTCCCTTTACAAAGTGCACCTGGGAGTCAGTAGCCCTCAGTCTTAGTCACAATCTCTGCTGGTTTTCACAACCAGAAATTAAGGGGAATTCTCTCCCTGGCACTAGAACCCTGGGCTGGGGTGGGGCTGGGACCTCTCACTCCTCTGGGGGATGATAGGGACCCCCACAGCCGAAATATCCCTCCTGATCTTTAATGGTCACACGCAGGTGTGTGACCAGCCCATTCTCCATCTCTGTCCTTCCTACCAGTCTGGAGGTGGCTTCTTCTGTGCATTCTTAGTTGAAAGGCTTAAGTTCAGCTTGATTTCAGGTGATTCTTAATAATGGTTGTTTTGTAGATTAGTTGTAATTTTGATGTGGTTGTGAGAGAAGGTAAGCATAGCATTTACCTAATGTGCTATCTTGGTTGTCTCCTTGGTATGTTTTCTTGCTGCTTTTGAGATTCTCTGTTTGTCTTTAATTTTTTGCATTTTAATTCTGATGTTTGTTCATGTTGGCCTCTTTGGGTACCTCTTGTTTGGAACTTTGTGCTTTCTGAGCTTGTGTATTTATTTCCCTTGTTAAATTAGGCAAGTTTTCTGTTTTTTGGTTTGTTTGTTTGTTTTGGTACTACTCTCTTTAACATACTGGAGATCCCCATATTAGCCAGTAGAGATTGTAACTTTCTTTAAGTTAGATGGTTGTTTAATCATATTTTCTTTTTGAATGAATCTACTCTGATAAAGTACAATTTTGTGTCTATAAAATTCTGCTCAAACTTGGCCATTTTCTTAAGGGATTCTACAGTTGTTACTGTTTTACTTAGCCCCTGGGACAGAAGAAAGAGAAAATTCATGATCATTCCTTATATTTCACTTTATGTCACAGAGAAACCACCAGATGAGCCAATATATACACTCAGGAAAAGGATTTGGTTTTGTTTAATAATACTAGAGTTGAATCCTTGCCTATTTTAATTATTGAATGTTTAACTGTGGTAAACATAAATATTTTACAGAAATATTAGAAGGACCAAATGAGATGATTTATGGGAAAATATTTTGTAAAATGTCAAACTTAGGACTAAGGTCTGTGACTCTTAAGAATTATAGCAGGTTAATTAATCAGTTAATCCAACAAATATTTATTGGTAACTGCTCTGCATCAAATCCTGTGCTCTGTGCTAGGCACACTGTAATGATTTCGACATCTTAAGCTCTAGCAACTAACAGTCTATTTGGGAGGCACTCATATAAATAAAGAATGTAATCACACATTGTCAGTGGTGTGATAAAAAGACATACAGAACAGAGCATGTCTGGCTGAGCAGACTTATGTGATGGCAAAGGAGGTGAGTGTGATTGTTAAAAGCATAGATATTCACTTAAATACTGGCCATCCTGTGTGACCTAAGTTCTCTGTATCTCAGTTTCCTTATCTTTGAAAGAGGGATAGTAATAATACTTAATTTGTAATATTGTTGTGAGAACCAATCGAATGAATCACTTGTCCAGGACAGTAACTGTAATATGAAGTCTGACAATCATGTTCATGAACTTGCCACTGTGTGCTTACATTGGCAGCACAGTACAAACAGTTCAGTAAGATTTCATAACCTTGGTGTATCAGTATCTCACAGCTGTGTTCATGTCGATGTATGGTGTTGTCTTACTGAGTGGCGTTCATTATTGTTGTTACATGATTTTGTGTGCTGTTGCAAGAATATCTGAGCTTGAATTAAAGCAATGAACAAACATTAAATTTCTTGTTAAACTTGGCAAGAGTGAAAGTGAAATAAGGGACATGTTAGTCTAAGTTTATGGGGATAATGTCATGAAGAAAATTGCAATGTACAAATGGATTAAACGTTTTTCCAAAGGGAGAAAATGCGTCACTGATGAAGATAGGTCAGGGCAGCCAGTAACAAGCAAAACTGGTGAAAACATTGCAAAAGTCCATCAAATTGTGCATCAAAATCATCGGCTGCCTGTGAGAAGCATAGCAGACCAACTGAACATTGACAGAGAAACAGCTAGGAAAATCTTAACTGAAAATCTTGGCATGAGAAAGGTGTGTGCAAAAATGGTCCTGAAGGAGCTCACCGATGAACAAAAGCAAAAAAGAGTCGAAGTATGCCAAGAACTTTTGGAGAGGCAAGACAATGTTTTGGGCCATATTATCACTGGTGATAAAACATGGGTGTACCAATATGATACTGAAACAAAATGTCAAAGTGCACAATGGAAGTCAGCCAATTCTCCACAACCAAAAAAGTTTCATCAGTCCAAATCAAGAGTCAAAGCGATATTGCTAACTCTTTTGATATTAGAAGGATTATTTATTATGAATTTGTACCAACTGGACAAACAAGTAACCCAGTTTGCTATTTGGAAGTGCTGAAAAGACTGCGTGAAAAGTTAAATGACCAGAACTTTTGGCCAACAATTCATGGTTCTTGCATCATGACAATGCACCAGCTCACATGGCACTGTCTGTGAGGGAGTTTTTAGCCAGGAAACAAATAACTGTATTGGCACACCATCCCTGCTCACCTGATATGGCCCCCAATTACTTCTTTCTTTACCTGAATATGAAGGAAATATTGAAAGGAAGATATTTTGATGACATTCAGGACATCAAGCATAATACAACAACTCTGATGGCCATTCTAGAAAAAGAGTTCCAAAATTGCTTGAAGGGTGGACTAGGCACTGGCATCGGTGCATAGCTTCCCAAGGGGAGTACTTCGATGGTGACCATAGTGATATTCAACAATGAGGTATGTAGCACTTTTTCTAGGATGAGTTCACGAATGTAATTGTCAGACCTCATAGACTAAGGACTATATACGTGTTATACATGTTAGATTTTTGTTTCAAAATCTCTCTAGCAGCAGTGTCAGGTACCATTTCATAGAGAATATGACCCATAGACTTTATCTGGAATGATGAGCAATTTTTTTTTAAATCAGGTGGACCTGGGAAACAAGAGAGAGGCTGTGAATAGAGAATTGAGAATTTAGGAAGCTTATAAAAGTATATATAGAATGAGGCATACAGCATTCGGCAAATAGATCATGGTAGCTGTGGGGAGCCTTGCAACAAGGAAAACATACAAGAGAAGTGGTTGTAGAGATGACAGGAACTGCAGTATGGAGGCCATTGTTCACCATGCTTCAGTGTTTAGACCTTGCTCAGTAGGTGTTGGGGAGTAGATACAAGGACCGAATCAGAGGGAAGTGTTTAGGAACAATCTTAAGGTTTGTGACCTGTGAAACTGGAGCTATGGTGTTGATGACTAAGAAATATAAGAGTGTATCTTAGCCTGAGTTCACTTGAAAATAGCGACTGAAACAAAGCTTTTCTACTGAAGGTTTGTTGAAAGCTGCAATTACAGAGCAGTTAAGAGTGAGCAGAGAAAAGAAATGAGACAAGGAAGGAGGGAAAGCAAATATGAACAGCACATTACAGAAACTTTTACAGCTTCATGAGAAAACACATTTGGTTGCTTGTTCACATTGGATGTATTTGGAAAAGCACTATGAATCCACCACATCTTGGTTCAGCTGATTAATTAATTCCCTTGAACTTTCAGGTTGTATCGCATCACACTTTCCAGTAATCACTGGGGAGTCAGAATCCACAACCCATGGAAAAGCACTTTATTTGAGGGGGGAAGAAGTGGAGAAAGCCAGAATTTCCACAAGCCTGTTCAGAGGAATCACTGGAGCCTGGATCTCAATCCATGGGACACCGTGAGAGTTGGTGAAATTAAGAAAAAAAGTGACATTGGTGACAGCAAGAGATTTTGACTTAGAAGTGGCCAAGGACATGGCGGGCAAATGAGTCCTCTTGTGTAAACTGAAGAGGGGCATAAATTCGGTATGGTATAATCTACCCCTTGATACTATAATTTGGAGCCTTAATTTGTTTGGAGAACAGCATGTCATCATTTATTTCCTGGATGAGGAAGTAGTCCTTCAAATTGGTGACCGGTTACACTCTCTTAAAAAGGCCTCATGAGAGTTATTACACCAAGATATGGTTCCTGTTACTGCCTCTGACTTCAAAACCACAATTTTTATTAATCATATCCCTCTACAACCACCATTTTTATACTTTCCTCCAATAAATTAACACCTTGGTTAATTTAGGTTACTTAGTTGGTGGAATGACCCAGAGATTTATCCCAGAGTGGTTTGAGCACACAGTTACCTTTCCCTTTTTGGACCATGGTTGCTACAATTGGATCTTCACAGTTATCATTGGGAATAGATGCCTTAAGTGATGTTTCATAGGATCCTCTGAGTTTAAAACAAAATTTTCCCTATCTGTTTTTATAGTTAACAACCCTAACTCCTAACATAAATTACGGGTGTTATCTCAGCCAAGTATAAGTTTTTTTTTTTTTTGCCTGTTGTTTCACTGGCGTTAGAGGCCCAATGTTGCAAGATGGAAGTTGCAGCTTCTCATTCATTGAAACACTATTGTGTCATCAAGTGGAAGTGGCCTCCAACCTTGGAAATAATACCTCAAGCCTAGCATAACTTAGGTTCGCAGGAATGGCAAAGCACAAATTCCAAAAATAGGTCACTGGAGTGTTGGTCGTTGGAGCCACTCCTACTGCTACCCTTTGGTTCTTGAACCTAAGTTTTCTAGCTCCTCAAGAAAATCATATATTAGTTATGGTTTCAGTGATTATATTACATATAAAGATGTTGTGACTGAGCTCGTGCCTTAGCTCATCCTTCAACATGTCTATCTACAATTATTTTAGGCTTGCTGATTCTGGGTGATAAGATACGTGGTAGCTCCAGGGATTCTCATGTTCACAAGCTCATTGTTGCGCCTCCTTTGCTATAAAATGGGCCCTTTGGTATTGGACATTATTGTGCACAATTAAATGTCAATGGATCAGGAATTTTCTGTTTTTGTATGGTGGAGGTAATGGAGGTTCTGCAGACAGAGAAGGCAAATGCATATCTGCAATATGTATCTATTCAGATAGAGATGAATTGCTATTCTCTCCAAATTGGAAGGAGTCTGATGTAATTGACCTTCTACAATTTGTATGGCTGGCCTACCTGAGGAATGGTGCCATATTGGAGACTTATAGAATTTCTACTACTGGAAGTTCGGAACATTCAGCTGTTGCAGAAGAATTAATCTTTTTGGAAGGGAACTCATGTGGTTGGACTCACGCATAACTGACGTGCATAGCTGGTATCCCTTTTTCCATGAGCACATTGTGCAACTACTGGGGTAGCTGGGGAGAGACATGGGCTGAGATCTACTGACTGAATTTCTTGTACACATGGTTGTCAAGAGATTTCTCTGCAATGTGTTATTTGGTGAATATTAACTGGAAATGTAAATATCTGTATGTTTTGTATCCATTTCCATAGAACCATCCATATACCTATTCTTTATACTCAATCTTCCAGTTTTGGCCATTTCAGTGAGGTTGTAATATGGCAACAGCAGTCCATTTCTGGTTAGTGCCAACATACTGTTCTGACTTATCTGTGAATCAGGCCTTTGTGATTTCTTCTGTCAGTTGGTTATAAAAACTTCATGAGGCCACTGGTGTAAGCTGAAGAATCGAAGTTAATGTAACAAAGTTAGGTAACACAGGCATCGGGACCACTTATTCATGTAGTACCTTCTGGACCCACTTAAACCTCATCACAAATATATTACAGTAGTCCCCTTTTATCCACTGGGGATACATTCCAAAACCCCCAGTGGATGCCTGATACCATGGACAATACTGAACCCTATATATACTACGGTTTTTTTTTATGCATACACACCTATGATAAAATTAAATTTACAAATTAGGCACAGTAAGAGGTTAACAACAACAACTAATAATAAAATAGAACAATTATAACAATAAAATAAGAGTTACTTAAACACAAGCACTGCCATACTGCAACAGTCAATCTGATAACTAGGACAGTACTAAATCACTAATGGGTGGGTAGCATATATGGTGTGGATATGCTGGACAAAGTATGATTCACATCCCAGGTGGGTCAAAGCAGGATAAAACAAGATTTCACTATGCCACTCAAAATGGTGTGAAATAGAAAACTTATGAATTGTTTACTTCTGGAATTTTCCATTTAATATTTTTGGACCTTGGTTGACTGCAGGTAGCTGAAACTACAGAAAGTGAAACCATGTATAAGGGGGGAACTACTGTACTTCATTGTACAAGGGACTAAATAGATAGCTGTAATAACTACCCAAACTTATGACATGGTGGATCTGATAACACCATGATGTTATCATAATGGGCATCTCTCTTTGCAAAGTCTCTTGGTGTTCTGTGGCCAGGTGCCCAACATTGACTAGGGTATAGTAACATAGCAGAAGATGTTTTGCAAACAGAGAGTATTTTTCTGCCATGGAGGGCAGAAATGGCCAAGAATCCTATATGTCTGTTTTATGACTCTTCTATTGGGTCCAAATAAATGCTCTTCTTCTCTCTTGGTGGTAAGAGTTGCAAGGTGCAAAAACTTGTCCCTTACTTCAAAAAAATGTTACAGTGTCTTCCAAGATACCCATACCCCCACCAAAACTTCACCAATATGTCAGTCCTTGAAATTTTATGAGATTTATCACTTTTTGGCATGCAAGTGAACCCCTAAAATTTCAACAATACAGCAGGTTCATAAATCTTTATAGAACTTGTTTTCCATCTTTTGGTATGTAAGTGTCTTATTCAGGCACCTAGGGTATTTGTCGTTTCCAGCTCAACAGGTCCAATTAAAATGAAGTGGACCCTAGTAAATGGGAGAGGAGGATTGTTTCTGTGTGAAGGGTGAAAAGGATAACTATTGTATTGTTCTGTACACCTGAAACTAACAATAAAAAAAGGGAAAAAATGAAGTGGACCAAAATGATACTCTGAGGAATTTCAAGATATTCAAAGTCTTTATGGACAATGTGTCAGAGACCAAGAACGTTAACATAGCACTCAAGCAATATAATGTATGTACTTGGCTCTTTTTGACATACAAAAATGAATTGCCTTCAATTCTCTCTGCTAATGGGCATCATGAAGAAAGTATTCTGCCAAATCAATAACTTTATACTAAGTGCCTGAAATTATGTTGATATGCTTTTGTAAAGATAGTGCATCCAGCATAGCAACTGCAATCAAGGCTTCCATTTTGTTAAGTTTACAGTGGTCCACTTCACCAGGCATGAACTACCTGATTTTGCAAAGGTGAAACTAGAGAACTTAGAGAAATGTAATAGGAGCCATTGAGTCCATCTTTTAAATCATGATGGTGACACTAGTTTCTGCCGTGCCTTTAACAATGTGATATTTCTTCTGATTTGGATTTATGGAAGGGACCGTTTGGGGGCTTTAAATTGGCCCTTTCTATTATAATGATCCTTAATCCACAGTTTGGAGAATCTTGGGAGAGATATTGCAACATCTAAGAATGTGCATTCTAATTATACATTCAGAAAATAGAGTCACAGTGTGAGTATATTAATCTACTATAAAATGGGCATTACTTTCTAGACCAACATTTGCATTAGGTTAAATCACATTAAATTATCCTGGCTTGAAGTGTTCTCTTTTTTTTGTAAGATTTTATTGGGTAATTGGGGAAGGGGGACAATGTTGGGGAATTGGGGAGGGGGAACAGCCAAGTTGTTGTCCTTCAATTTTAGTTGTGGAGACTGCAGCTAGCTCAGCTCCAAGTCCAGTCACCATCTGGCAGCCCGTCAGCAGCTCGCAGTCGTTCAGCTCAAGGTGCCGTGTTTAATCTTAGTTGCGGGTGGGCATAGCCCACCATCCCATGCAGGAGTTGAACTGGTAACCTTGCTGCTAAGAGTGCATGCTCTAACCACTGAGCAATCCTGCCACCTGTTGGCAGCTCAGCGGCAGCTCAGCTCGGGCACATTTCACAGGCTCATATGGGAATCGACCCAGTGACCCTGTTGCTCAGAGCTCGCGCTCTTAACCAACTGAGCCACTCGGCCGGCCCCGAAGTGTTCATTTTTAAGCTCTAGAAATTCATACGTAATATTCATGACCTCAAACCCTTAACCCAACGTCCACAGGAAGAACAACGTAACACTTAAAGAGCTTGTATATTTCTATGCACTTGCCTACAAAGGATCTCCTGTTTGAAAGTCATGAGTTTCATGCTTGCATTTTCTACACCGGCCAGTACCACTTTGACATCAGAAACTGGTCTATATCTGGAAGGACTACACAATCTACAGGATGACCTTGAGTTGGACTGAGGATCTTCCTGTGGATTCTATCTACAAGCACTGCTAACCAGTGTAAATCACTCAGTAAGAGATTCAAGCTGGTTTTTCTGTCACATCCACTGCACATAGCCCTGTTGGAAATTTTAGGGCCAGTCCTAGGTCCATTGTATGTTATATAGGTAGCAAAACCTATCAAATTCCACTTCCAGCTCCTCATTTCTTTACATATAGTGCCCAACTTCTTATAACCACCTTTTCAAGAGCTCACTAATTTCTCACACACTTATATTCCATCTGAATAATTAGAGAAAATAAACTGGAGTACTTATTGAAGAGTATCTGTTTCTTGCCACCTTCAAGACCCACTGGTGAAAGAACTGAAATTTATCTGAATAGTGATGTCAATTCTCATGAGCATTCTTCTAAGGTATGATTTGTGTCATATTGCAGCTTTCCATTTCAGTATGAATCTCAATCCATACCATACCAGAAATATAACTATTTTTACAGTAAATAATTTAACTTATTTCTGTTTTAAGCCCCATTTTGACAGAGGGGCAGAAATGTAATTTTAGTCACTTTGAATTTCCTCCACCTTACCCCCAAATTGCATCTATGTTTGGAGGGATTTCAATGCATTGGGTAGGAAACTAGTCTCAGTAATTTTCTGGTCCTTTGATGTTTGTCATTCAGGTATTTTCTGAATAAACCTCATTACTCACTCCTCTATAACTGGCAATGCTTTGTGTTACTTTTTCCCTAGTATATGCACTTAATTGTGATAGTAAGAATACAGTAATTATTAATACTGAGGTTAATACTTCATGAGTAATAGTAACAGTATTTGTAAATTTATTCTTGTTAATGAATTAGAAGTTGGCTATATTAAACTAGAAGTATATGATCCTTAACAGTAGAATGGTAAAATTAAATTCTCAAAATGTCAAGATATTTTCAAAAATTTAAATTGTAAAAAACACATAACATAAAATTTACCATAAAAATCTTTTAAGTGTATAGTTCAGTTTAAGTGTATTCCCATTGTTGTATAACAGAATTCTAGAACATTTTTCATTTTGCAAAACTGAAACTCATACCCATTAAACAATAATTCTCCATTTCCCCCTTCCCCTAGCCTCTGGCAACCACTTTTCTTCTTTCTGTTTTTATTAATTTGACTACTCTAGGTACCTCATATAAGTGGAATCAAACAGTATTTGTGTTTCTTCTTTATCTTTTTTTTTCAATTGGGGGAGAGTGTTTTTTTCCAGGACCCATCAGCTCCAAGCCAAGTAGCTGTTTCAATCTAGTTTTGGAAGGTGCAACTCAGTGGCCCATGTGGGCATCAAACAGACATCCTTGATATTATGAGCACTGTGCTCTAACCAACTGAGCTAACTGGCCACCCCAGTATTTGTCTTTCTGTGACTGGATTATTTAACTTAGCATAACATCCTCAAGGTTCGGCCATGCTATAGCATGTGAAAAACTTCTTTCTTTTTAAGGCTGAATAATATTCCATTGTGGGTATATACTGCATTTTATTTATCCATTTATCTTTGGATGAACATTTGGGTTGTTTTTACCTCTTGGCTTTTGTGAATAATGCTTATATTAACATAGGTATGCACATATTTCTTTAAGATGTTTTTAAAAATTCTTTTGGCTATCTACCCAAAAGTGGGATTGCTAGATCATATGGTATTTCTGTTTTTAATTTTTCAATGAACCACTATACTGCTTTCTGCAGTGGTTCTACCATTTTGCATTCTTGCCAACAGTGCACAAGTTTTCTAATTTCTCCACATCCTCACCAGCACTTGTTATTTTATTTTATTTTTTAATTTATTTTAGATTGTTTTTTTACTGGGGAATTGGGGTATGGGAACAGTGCTGGGGAAGTGGGGTAAGGGGAACAGACAAGTTGCTGTAGTTTTGTTCTTCAGTCTAGTTGTGGAGGATGTTGCTTCATTGGCCCAAGTTGGCACCATCATTGCACTCTTCCTGGGCGAGGCAGTTCAGTCACTGGCATCTGGATGGCCACTCACAGCGGCTGCTGGCAGCTCATGCTGGGTGCTGGCCACACACGGTAGCCCATGGCAACCCACTGCAGCAGGGGCTGCAGCCTACACCGCCGCCGGCAACTCATGGCATCCCAGCTCCAGGTTGAACTGTTGTTCAGCATCTTAGATGTAGAGGGTAGTGTCACTGGCCCTCATATGTGGGATCCGAACCGGGGCCCTCTGGTGTCCCAAGCCAGCTCTTAACCAATGTGCCACTTGGCCGGCCCTATTTTATTTTTTTATAGTAGCCATCCTAATGGGTGCTCCTTTTGTTTCTCCTCTCCTGTGCATGGAAATAAATTTTCCACTTCCATTGCAAAGTTTTTTATGGGAAACTCAGAGTTGTGGTAAAAGCTTCATTACACACTTACATTATCTGCTTCTTAGCAAACTATGCAGAGTTCCCCTTGTGTTTCACATGCCTTAACATTTCCCCAATTTCTAAAACACATAAGGGGGATAGCAACCCAAGCATTAGCTTTGACATCTTAATCTGGG